AACATGTCGAGTTTTGGAAATGATCTGGATTGCAGTAGGAATCGCTTTAAGTCAGTGTGTCAAAGACCAAGAGAATTCAATGTGTAATATTTTAAAAGGAATAATAACTTAATAAAAATATGGTACCTCTTCTTTTGCTAGACTAGATACTTCATCAGGCACAAAATCGGAATCAGAAAGAGAAACTACAAAATGCAAATAGCCATTTTAGCTGCCTTCACCCCTCTTTTTCCTGCAGCTAGCAAATCAAAGTATTCAAGCTCTACTGTGTATTTTTGGCGTAAGTTCATGATGATTTGTAGCTACAAAAACTGTTGAAGATAGTATGCTTAGTAAATCTTACATGTGAGAATCACTATCTTGGTTTTGACGAAATACTTGAAACTTACAGTGTAAAATTTGTCAAGCAAAATATTTTTGGAAACCTTATGGATAAAGAAACTATGAAGCTAAAAATTAAAGCAGCCCAAAGTGAAAAAGAATGTTTGTCAATGCTTATTGCAGAATACACTGACGATGTGGTAGTAAATAGAGGTACTTATTCTATTTAATCCCGTAAAGACTCTCTTTGGTCACTAGTGGCGAAACTAGTATACCTATTTAAAAATGAAAATTTAGCAATACATATGCTGAACTTGAGAAAAGGAATAAACAAAAGAAGAAAAAAAACAAAAGAATAATTATTCAAGAAGATATCTCACATTCTGAATTACTTGAATCTGAATCTTCATTCCCTATACAAGTTTCAAATACGAAAAGTCATAAAGCACAAATACGCAGAAAAACTACAAAAGCAAAAAAAGATTTACTTACTTTATTACTTGAACATGAAAATTCGTTACCAATTCATATACTTATAATAGTATTTGATGAACTTAATAAAATCTCTTCAGATTGGACATACAAGAGAATTAAGCAATATTGGAGAAATAATCGAAAAAAAGACGATACTCCAAAATAAATATTAGAGTAATACACTTTAGTAAAAAAGAAATATATAGTTAAATTGTCTTACCAACACTTTTTATTAGCTACGTTTCGTATTTTTCATATTTTTTTATGTATTATTGGGTTCTATTTATACATTATCAATAAATTTGACATTACCTTTTAGTATATAAGTATTTTTTTGTTTTTTAATAAAATTATTAGTAATAAAAACTCTTTGTCGATAAAAAAATGAAGAGAAAAATAAAATTTAAGCTTTTATCTTATCTTATTAAATGATCGCTCCTAATTAAATATTAGAAACCACAAGTCAAGTACTTTTTTGTCATTAAGTTCGCTTGAAGTACTTTCTATTTCTTACTTTTTAAAAAGCAAATTTTGTCAAAACCTATACTAATTAGAAAAGGATCTTGGAATGTATATTAAAAAATAACTGTTTTTAGCTCAATTAACAAATAAAATTTTGGTACAGAATTGAAATATTTAACTTGAAAAAGAAAAGTTTTCTAAAGTTGAAATACTATTAGTCAAATGTTTATTAAAGTAATATTACTAGTAAGTCATGGTATCATATGTTATACAAAAATTATCAAATATGAAATAGTAACAAGCAACTTTAATAAAAAGATTATAGTACTTAGGCAATTGTGATCACATGTATTGATATTTTGCTCTAACTATAGAGAAAATTTATAGGAAAATTGGTTTATTTAAATAATTATTGTCATTTAATATTTATTTATAAATAATCATTAATATTTTTTTAAAAATATTATTGTTACTTAATATTTATCAATAGGAGTGTGGCGACATAGCAAAGTGGTAGAGTTGTCATCTCCAAGTGGCAGGTTTAGAGTTCAAATCCCATGAACAATGATATTGAAAAATGAACTTGTGTTCGGTATGATTATCCACTAATCAGTTGTTTGGTACACTATCTAGAATAGGAGCTTTGAAGCATAAAATCCAGATAATCAGAATGATCAATACCCATTTGGAACCCTGAGTAAGGAGGTAGCCAAAACCTTTGATAGTGCTACAAAAAAACCTGAATTTGGAAGTTAGAACCAAGACCTATGAACCGAATGACAAAAGATTCTTAAGTAGGTGATCTACCAACCAAACTACCAATTTGGAAAAACCAGAAATTGACAGACATACACAGTGTATACCAACTGGATTACCAGCTTGGAAAACCAGTAGCAAGGGCCCTATCTAGTGGACCTGCAGATTGGAAAATATGGATCATAAGACACATGCCAAAAAAATAGGCCAAGTATGCCAGAGGACTAGGAACTTCTGAGTTGAAAGAAAAGAATATATGCTATATAAATACAAACCAAGATGAAATGGGCCAAAGGCATCTAGAGCTGGGCCAAAGTCAAATTTTCTAAGTTGTCAATTGGAAGTAAGGGATAGACCAGTTAGAGAATAATAAAAAAATAAAAGCCTGAATATGAGTATCGAGATGAAATGTAAATCTTATAAGGACATAGTAGTCACCAAGATATACCCAAGTAGAATCTTTGGAGACTGCGAAGACTAGGCTGGCCATAATGGGATACAAAAAGCTCTAGTAGGTTTATTTTAAGGATAGCTATGGTATCTGCTCTACGGAGAAATGCAAGCCAGTAATTAGTTGGTGCAAACCCAGAATAAATCTACAGAAGGTCTAAAGAGGATGCAAAATCTACATGAGATGAGCTATAATCATGGTAGCCCCTTTGTTAGAATAAAATTGTATATATAGTAAAAATTAAAAGATTTAAATAAGTAGTCCTAGTTTATGCATTTAGTATAGACGGTACCAAAAGCACAGTAGCTAGTTGTATCTTCATTGTAACCAGTATCATTGATTTCTAATAAAAAGTCTCTTTTGGCCAAAAAGATTATCTAAAAACTAAAAAAAAAAATTTATTAATTGCAAAAACACTCAAATTAAACTTAATTAGTTAATATAACTTATAGAACATAATTATAATTACATGATAGCATTAATATTGAATTATGCAATAGATAAATATCATAAAATTTGTTCTGCCAAAACAAATAGTTGCTAAAATATGCTGCTGCATGGTATATGTCAGCCAACTATTTGCCCTAACAGACCAAATTCATGATATTTTTTCATCGCTTAACCAATATCTTATATTTTCACCACTATTTAGATCTTTTTAATATCTACTACAAATGGCAATTTTCTGAATTTCTATAGAATTACCAGACTTCAGATAATATAAAAATGCTTTTGCTTATCAATTTCAATGCCAATTTCTAAATAATAACTAATCAACTTGATATATTTTATTAGAATTTCTCATTTTTGCTAATTTTTAATGTTGCATAGTGAACATTTATTTAATTAAAAGTTTCAAACCTATATTAACTATTCATTGCTTGACTAATATCTTATACTTTTGCCACTATTCAGATCTCTCTTGTAATCATCTAAAGCAGCTTGATTATAAGTTTTTAAGAACAAATTAGCTGTGCTTTCTAGAAAAAAACTAAAAAAAAGTATTTCCTAGGTTTACTTAGCTATATACTATAGGTTAATAGTAAAAATACAGCATTAGTAGAAGTCTTTCAGAAATCTGATTATATCTAATTAAATTTGCCAGCTGCTAGTAAGGTCAAAGACCAATATATTTTAAAAGTTATTCACTCATAAGTGACATATACATAACTTGTCATATAAGTGATTACGTTTTCATATAGGGGTACTTTAAAGCTAATATAAATAACTATATAATAATTAATGTTATAGTTGTACTACATTAGCTAATCAAAACGACTTTCCATCATAATGATTTGTACCGGCCAAAAATTATATTATTGAATATTATACTTTTATTACTATTACCCAAAAAAAATAATAATTACTAAAATTTGCTAACGATAATCACAAATTCATCACATGTTCTGCTAATTTTCAAGTTTATTTTGTTGAGCATCCTTATCCTGTATCTGGGGTAGAGGCTTTTATTCTATGCCCAGAGATATAAATTTTTATCCTGTATTGTCTAAATCTGATAGGTCCAAATATTAAATATTTAAATTTTTTAAAGTTTTTTTTATTATAGATACTTTATTAAAAAAAAATACAAAGTAGCAAAAAGTACAAAAAAAAAAACAAAAAGTATAGCAAGACAAAGACCAAAAAAACTACCAATGCGATAACCAAAAACACCAAATGATGACCAATAGCACCACAAACCAATGATAAAAACACTATCAAATAACACCAAAATACACTATCAAATAATGACTAAAAGACCACCAAAAGCAACACCAAACTATGACAAAAAGCACTATTAAATGATGATAAAAAGACCACCAAATAGCAACTATAAACACCACCAAATGATGACCAAAAGCACACAAAATGACGATAAAAGCACTACAAAAAAGTGACAAAAAGCATTACACAAATATAGACAAAAGCAATAACAAAAACACCAAACAATGATAACAAAAGTACCAAAAAAAAATAGTAGCAAAAACACCACAGAACAATGATGAAAGCACCAAAAAATAATAGCAAAAACACCACACAAAAATGACGAAAGCACTAAAAAAAACAATAGCAAAACACTACACAACAATAACGAAAGCACCAAAAATTAAATGATGACAAAAACACTATAAAAGCACTAAAAATCATAATGAAAGCACTAACAAAAAAGCACAATTCTATATTGATCGGTTTAATTTTATATAAACATAGTCACATGATTGACACAGGTTAAAACTCTGTACCCCAGGGTATAAGTTAAGTTTCTCCTATTTTGTCAACACTAAATTTACTGCCAATTAATTAACTGACAAACTTACCACTGTTTTTATAAATTCAGTGACATCTAAAAAATTTTTGTTTTCTGGAATTTTTTTGGGTTCGTCTGGTAAATTACCTAATTTTCCGAAAACTACAGGATTGAAGGTTCGAAAATAGTGATGTAGTTTTCAGATAGCTAAGTAATTTACCAGATAAATCTGAAAAGATTCCGGAAAACTAGAAAATTTTTAGGTGTCCAAAAATTTATGAAAACAGCTGTAATTTGCTGAAAAGGTTATTTCATTGACAGTACGACTCACTTCACTAAAAAGCTTAATTTAGAAAAGTTCATTTTGTTAACAATACATTTCACTGACAATTATAGCTGTTTTTATAAATTCTGAGACACCTAAAAAAATTTGCTGATGATAATTTCAGCTAAATTTGATAAGTTATTGATTTTGGGTAGTATTTGGATCTGTTGAACAAATCCATTGGATGATTTGATGGATATCCAACTATTTTAATCCATGGGTATTTTTTTGGATATCCACTAGATTATTTGAATTTGTATCAGAGTGATTGCTTATTCGTAATGGTAATAAAACATTTTGATAAAAACAGTGACATAATGTTAATTATTAAGAAATAGTAAAAGTTTTTTAGAATAAATGATTAAATTTCTACTTCATTATTGCTATTCTGTAAAACTCCTGTGTATGAATAAATTGAGACAACAAAAACAGAAGAAACAAAATAACAAGCTTTTAGTGCAGGAAAAGTAACTTATGTAATTAAAAAGTATCTGAATTAGCAATTTATTAAATAAAGAATTCTTTGTATAAATATTTTAATATTTTGTTAATATATATATTTGTAAATTATATAATTTATACTTATTGTAAAGAAATAATTGAAAATTCACTATATTGAGAATTTTATTAGTAAATTCACTATATTAGAAAGTTTCATTGACCAAAGGACATTACGGGAGAGCCATAGTAATCTGGATGTGTGTGTGTCCGCAAATTAAGGGGTTTGATTAGTTGATCTGATAAAAACAAATATTTCTCTGAAAATACCCATTGTCGAACTGATCTGTGATAAGTTTTTCAGATCTCCATTTACCTAGTATAAATTGGTTTTGAGTCTGATTCACAATAACTGTTCTTCAATATATAGTTCACTATTATGAGGGTGACTTTCATATATATATTTTTTTGTAGATATTCCTTTAAAGCTATTATTATAATTCCTGGAACATCTAAAAATTTGCTGAATGATTTTTTAGCCGATTCAGTTAAGTTATTGATTCAGCATAATCTGTATAATAAAATGATTATTTTACGATTGTCATAACAATAATGTCAACGATTTTAAATTTCTTTCGAATGCATGTTTAAAAATATTTAGTGTGCTTTAGTTTGTACGAAAGTTTATGGAAATAACTGTTCATATCAACCAATAAACATTAACAAGAAATGTAAAAAAAAATTGATTATTATTGTAAATACTGTGTGATCATGAATTTGTCAACTGGTTTAAAAATAAATCTCGGGTTATGATTTCAAGTGACCAAGAAATTATTAATATCTGTTAAAAATGCATGAAGAATTATAATAAATGAAATCAAAATCAAAAAATTTATGTTTATATTTATTTATATATTTTTTGTTTTTGAAAAAAATGAAAAATAATTAAAACAGGGTGTGTGATATAGCGAAGTGGTGGAGTTGTTACACCCCCAAGTTAGTTTGACTATAGGTACTAAGTTCGAATTCCACTGTCACAATGTTTCGATACAATTTACCTGAGTTATGATAATGGTTTATTCTAAATTGGGCGGGTTCTATATCTGTAAACTAGAGCACATCAATGCCTCAAGTGCACTAAGAGTTGTGGAAGTATTTGTATTATTGTGCAAAAAAATGCAAACCAGTATGGGCAGTGCAAATCCATGATAAGCCTTTCAGAATTAATGTATGTTTAAGACCTACATATAGTAGCCTAAGAGAACTGAAACTGGCTTGGCAAATCCAGAATAGGGAAGTAGTAGATTTATAACTAACTGGTGCTACCTGGTACTACAGGACTGATCTGACTAGATTCGAACATTTGGAGAATTTGGGCAACAAGATTTTATGGCAATAGGGATCCACCAACCAGACTACCAGAGTTACTAGAGCCGTCTTAGTTTTACATTCCTTGGCTACTTCAGTAGTATGACTAGGGGTAAGATCCTAAAATGAGACTCTGAAGAAAAAGGTTATGTGCTATGAAAACATAGTTCAAGGATCGGGTAACCTTCAAATCTAAGCCTAGGAAACTTGGGTCTTGGCAGACTAGTTCTTCTGGGTTATCTGGATTGGGAGACTAATGAAACCAAATAAAGTAAGGTATAGAAAGTATCAGATTGGGATACTAGAGTTTGTAAACCTTATAAAAGGTAGAAGTATATAATGAAAGACTAATTAGAAAAGGTTGTGCTTGAGATACAGATTGTGTTATAGCAGTGCCCCAAAAGGTGGCTTGAGATATAAACACAATGATGGCAGACAACATGTACTAATTGGAAAAGTAGTTACCAAATGAGCATGCAGTATCATGTGTGGGACATGTAATACGATATCAGGTTTATCTTGAGAATAATTAAGATAGTTCTATAAACTGGTTGTAATATTTATATTAAAATTGTTGTAAATATTACTAACCCCAATTTAACTATAATAAAGATGCACTGACCAAAGAGGTTACCTTTAATAATTAAAAAAAAAAGAAAAATAATTAGAAATAAATAAATGCTTTCATTTGTATGAAAATAGATCTTGTCAAAGAATAGAAATCAAAATTTAGATTGGCTTTTTAAAAATGAATTTTTCGTTTTCAACAAGAAATGAAAAATAATTAGAAATGAATAAATGCCTTCATTTGAAGAAAAATGGATCTTGCAAAAAATAGAATTGAAATTTAGTTTAATTTTTAAACCTGAATTTTTCTTCTTTGACAAGAAATAAAGAAATGAAAATAATTAAAAATGAATGATGCCTTTCTTTGAACAAAAATAGATCTTGCCAAAGAATAAGAATTGAAGTTAATACAATTTTTAAAAACTTATTTTTCATCAAAAAATAATTAGAAATAAAGGCTTTATTTGAACGAAAATGGATCTTGTCAAAGAATAGGAATTGAAATTTTACATAATTTTTTAAAACAAAATTTTGTTAAAAAATAATTAAAAATAAATAAGTGCAACAAGTATGCATGTCACTATATTGTAATATATTACAGTCAGGTATATTACCAAAAATGAAAATTGATTCTAGATCATTCCATTGAAATTTGATTGGCTGCCTTTTGCCAAATTTGGTTACATTTTGTGGCTCAACGCAATAGCCAGTCATAACAAATAATTTAACATATATAAAGTAGAATGTTTACAGTTTTATGATCAATATTGATCTCATCAGAATTAATCCTTTATATCAATGTTTATAAAGACTCAAAAAAATAATAAGTTTTTACTATGCTCTTCTATTCAAAATTTTAATTTATTTCGCTAATTTATCTATAACTCAGCTTCTGATTTGTGTAATTGAAACAAAAAGAATTAGTAGATCAGCATTTCTATACTATAAAAAAGGTGATCTACATTGCTATTTTTAGTAATATGCCTGACTGGATATACATATTACAAACCTTATAAAATTATTAAAATACAATAGATTATAAGAAACCCCGTTTGATGGTAAAATTTAGTTTAGATATAATATATTTTAATTATAAAATATTTTTGTCTAATATATGTATCTAAAACCTTATTTAGTAGCAATCAATTTATATTTCAAGGATACATTTCTACAAGATTGAATATATTTGGGATATCTAAATATAGTAAAACCTTACTGCATTTATGAAGATCATATGCTAGATGACCAAAATACTATCTGGAAAAACATTATTTTACTCACTTAGATAATCTTTTTTTAAACAGAATAATGATATTGTCAACAATACATTATTTACTTTCTTTAGCAGGAATGTTAATTTTCTATATCTCTAAACCATTAATATTTTAAGTAGATCTTATTTAATATCCATATACAGTCAACTCTCTTTTATCTGAACAGCCTATTCTTGGGGTTTTAGTTTAGTTCTTAAAGAGATATTATAAGTTTATTCGAATTTTATAATAAAATTTATAAATGTCTTAGATTTTAAGTTAGAATAAGAGAGAGTTTGGTTTAGAGAGGTTTGGTTAAGAAAGAGTTGACTATATATCTCTTTATTCTTTAGTTCTTTCTCTACTTTAATATCATCTAGAAATCTACTTCTTTAGATGGATATCCTTTATAAAAAATAGAAGCAGTTAACAAATACTTAATTATAAAAATTGTAAACTTAATTCTCAAAGTTCTTTTGGAGAAACAATACTCAATAGCCAAATATGAGATTATACAATCTAAAAGGTGTCATTTCTTGCATTGATCTTGTGGCTATTTTGCTGTTATACAGCTTGGAAGATATGTTGTTTCTTCTTTGAGTATAAAGTATTATTCTTCAGTATAATAGTTGTGAAAATACTCTTCAATTTTCAAAATTATCTTCAAAAAAAAAGTCGAATAGATACAATAGAAGTTCTTGACATTACACAAACTCAAAAAGCAAAGGTGTATATTAGTAAAGTTGGTTCTAAAATAGGACTAAAGCAAATCCAGAAAAAATCAGTAACTATACTAAATAAGGCCAATATGTAATCTAATTTAATTAAAAAAGTATTTTTTAAACTATGTAAAATTCAATTTCATTTTTAACTTAATCAAGTATACAAGACTTAGTGACTATGAGACTGAAAATAATAAAAATACTAATGAAGACAATTTGTTTTCTGGAGATAAAACTAAAGAAAATTTTAAAACTATAACTTTTGATAAATTCATAAATAGATTTAAAATGAGACAAATTGAAAAATAATAGATAGATTTCAAATTATTAATATGTTCTCAACAAATATTGCTTGACTTGCAAAAGCTTTTTTTAACAAAAATAAAAAAGAACTAACACTATGTATTTTGAGTGTAGTTCAGTATGCAGCAACATTGATACTGTATAAACTAATATGAATATAGGTATATTAAAAAGCATCTAAATATAGTTTAGGATTTTTATTGACAATTGAATTGTCTTCAGAATTTAAAGGCAGAATATATACATAGTTTGGAGAAAATTGGTATGACATTAAAAAAGAGTCCATAAAATAATTGATTTGGTGCCAAAACCCTTTGAAGACAATATAAAAGATATTATTAATAAAGTGAAAAAAGTAAATAATTATTAATTAATTGTTAGCATATTATGATTATATAAAGCTTAATACAAATTAATAATATAGTAATAATAGTTATATATGATTTGTATAGTTTTTATATAATTGTAATACTTTAGAGAGCACTATATATTATACTATTACTCTTATTTAATTGTCAATTTTAGATGTGTAATTCTTATCACTATGTTGATGCACAAGACTACTTGTATAAGATATAGATTTAAGAAGATTTTTTAAATATTCACCAAATTGTTACAGTTTATTTCTATATATAAGATAAATAAATACCATATTTTTAGTAAATTATATGATTGCTAAGATCTTATATTAAAAATTTTATTTTTAGTATTAATAATTTTCCTATATTTTTGTAGATAAAATTAGTAAATCTAAAGCTTTTACTAAAAAATCTTATATAAGTCTTTATTGGTAAGATTATTATTATAATCATCTATATTTAAGAGGTGTGGCGACTTAGTGTAGTTGGTTAGTTGTCACTCTCCCAAGCGGCAAGTCTAGAGTTTGAATTCCACAGATGACGATTTTGAAAAATGGATCTGCGTACAGTTAACGGTTGTTGATTATCGGTTGGATCCTAATCTGTAATTTCGGTCACACCATCTAGTAATGGGAGCTTTGGCACAATAAATCTGAGGAACCAGAATAACCAAAAACCCGTTTGGCAAGTCCCGAGTTGGGATGTAGCAATGATCTTCGACGGTACTACAGAAGGGCTGAATTCGAACCGGGGCCCAAGATTGGAGAACTGAGCGACCAGGTCCTATGGCAGAGGACACACCGGCCGAACTGCCGGGTTGTCGCACTGGAGAAAAAGGGCATATGCTCTGAAAGTATGAACTAAGAGGAGGCGTCCTTCAGGCACCTAAAGCTTGGGCAGACCGACCCATCCAGGTTGCCGGCTGGAAGTAAGGGAAAAACTGATAGAGAATCTGGGTACTGGGGTTGTTGGGAACCTTACAAGGGCAAGGAGTACATAATAGATGACTAATTAGGAAGGTTGTGGCTTGAGATACGGACCAGGTTACGGCAGCACCCCAAAGGTTGACTTGAGATACAAACTCGGTGATGACAGCACAACAAGTACTAGTTAGGAAGAAATTACTGAACATACAGGTAAAAACATGTGTGGGACATGGACTACTCTGTTAGGTTTACCTCGTGAATAGATTAGCTATATATGTTTAGTTAGTCTTAAGACAAGAGATTGATAAATTCAAAAATGGTTAGTAAGTCCTAAGGTAGGTTGCGAAATCTATAGGTATCGCAAAAGCTACCATCGAATAGTGAGTTACATCTTTGGTTAGGTAGAATGTAGCTAGCGGTTGTAACCAGAGGGTTTAAATGGATACTCCCCTAGTTGAGGTACAGGTACAGCAAATAGTGTAGAACCTTCGGGCGGACTACTTAAATTAGGCACTCAAAAGGTGCATGTATGGCTATATGTACTCTCATTGTAACTAATATGTTATATATCTACTTAATAAAAAGTCTCCAGGCTGCAGAGGTCACCTTAATACCAAAAAAAAAAAAAAAAAAAAAAATATAATCATCTATATTTGTAAATAGTAATATTTATTTTCATATATATAAAGGTGATACAAAAGCTAAAGCTATTGATGAGCATTAGCATAAAATTAATTTAAGAATTGTTTGTAAAAACAAAGACATTGAGTTAAGTCATATAAAATGTGCAAAGATGCTAACTTCTTGTAAAGCTATTAATAATCAATCCAAATATATAAGAATACAAAAATGTATTCTTAATAAATTCTTTAAAGAAGATTTTATAAATAAGAATATAAAATTTAACAATCTTTGGTATACTGATTGCTAGTAAGATTCATCTACTTTTGATCATAATTAATTTAATGAATAATATAATTATTAACTGATTATTATTATATAAAGCCTGGAAGGTCAGATAATTGGAATAGATCATCCAGATAATGGTCTTTATTTTGGTTTCAAAGGAGCACAATTTATTTTTTCTGCTTAGCTTTTGAACATAGGATGTCTTTGTAATATACTTCAAATATTATACTTTTTCAAAGTAAGATAATGATATTAAATTATTATTATAATACAGTATAACATTTACTTATTATTTGTTTAGAAAAATATTGTCTAAAAAGCAAAAAGTTTTCTGATCATAAAAAGAAAAATTTCTATAGTAAATATTTCACAACCACTTGAAAATACAAATGAAAGCTAAACTTTTAAAGCAAAGTTTGTAAGACCAACTTTCTTTATACCAAGAACCAAGAAAGTTATACAAAGAAAGCTTAATTATATAGAATAATACAAAAAAAACTCTATATAGTGTTATACAAAATTTTGACATTTATAACAATAAAAATATTGAGATAATAATAATATGTATATACTATATAAAGTAAAATTTTGATTAAATAAATTTTTAATATCTATATTGAAGAATTAACTAGATTTCTTAAAACATATTTTGACAAATCTAAAACCAATATAACAATAAATTATACTCTTATTTTGCTTATATAAATAAATAACATATCAAAAATAATAAAATTAAAAGTATTTCAAAAATGATATACTAACATTTTTACAAAACATCTATAGTGCAATAATAATATTATCAATATATATATATAATTAAATAATAAATAAATAAATAGAGGTGTGGCGACTTAGTGTAGTGGTCTAGTCGTCACCCTCTCCAAGTGGCAGGTCTAGAGTTCAAATCCCACGGACGACGAATTTTAAAAAATAGCCTGTGCTATGGTTTACGGTTGTCGATTATTGGTTGGATCTAGAAATCTGTAATTTCGGTTACACCATCTAGTTATGGGAGCTTTGGTGCAATAAATCCGAAGAACTGGAATAACCGAAACCCATTTGGCAAGTCCCGAGTTTGGAGGTAGCAGTGATCTTCGACGGTACTACATGAAGGCTGAATTTGAACCGGGGCCCAAGATTGGAGAACCGAGCGATCAGGTTCTTTAGTGGGGTGATACACCAGCTGAACTGCTGGCTTAGACGCACCGGAGAAAAAATGCCATATACTCTGAAAGTATTGACCAAGGGTAGGGCCCTTCAGGCACCTAAAGCCTGAGCAGACCAACCCTTTCGGGTTGCCAGCTAGAAGTTAGGGATGGACCAATAAAGAATCCGGGTAAAGAGATGGCTCAAATGTGGGTACTGGGGTTACTGTGAACCAATACAAAGGCAGGAGTACGTAACAGAAGACTAATTAGGAAGGTTGTGCTTGAGATACGAATTGTGTTATGGCAGCACCCCAAAAGGTGGTATAAGATACGAACACAATAGCGGCTGACAATATGTACAAATTACCGAACATGCAGGTGAATACATGTGTGGGACGTGGACCACTCTGTTAGGTTTACCTCGTGGATAGATTAGC